ATGATATTTGAAATTGCTCAAAAATACACGCCCGCTTGGGACTGTTAGATACAAATAATGCCACTTTTCGCAAAAGCTCCTCGCATGCTTCAGGAATTGCGCTGCAAGCTGCATTTGCTACTAATGCAGATGCGTGACATTGATATGGCATAGTTATCAAATATTTGCAATGTTTTTGTAATTTAATTTTAAATGATTCGTATTTTTCTGTCATAACAGAGACATTAACATATGAATGAGCGAGAATGTATAAAAACTGAATTTGTTTTTTCCACATTTCGGCTCTAAAATTTGTAAATAATTTTTCGGCACTACAAATACTCGCGTCCAAATGAATTCATTCTAGTAATTCCGTTCGAACATTCAAAGACTGAGGATCGACGTGCCGAACAAGAAACATCATCCATTTATCATTAGTTAAATCAGATATTTCGTTAACAAAAATAGAAAAATTATTATTTTGTAATTTTTCGACCAACCGCTCCTGTTCGCAAACACATAAGACATTTTTTATTAGTTTCGGTGGCTTATTCCGATTCATCGTCATATTTTTCAAGACTTCCGAATTTTCTCCGAGGTCTTGAAAAAAACTTAAGATTGATTCTGCTCTTTTAAATGGAATGTTTTTCTCGGCAATTAATGGTACAAATTATATTTCTGCGAATTTCTTCCGATCTTCAAAAGGCACAGGTTCTTCGTCATGCGTATTCAAATCTACGCTGAAGCCCCTGTTCTGCCACTCCGAAACATGTTTCTTACTGTTAGAATGCCGCATAAGATTGTTGAAACCACATCGAAGCTTTAGATTGCAGAAAGAGCAAAAACAATTGAAAGGATTGATCAGGATTGTTTGCAGCCATGGTTTGAATCGTTTATTTCCAAGCCATGAATGGCAAAATTTCCTTTCACGATGTCCCTTTTCAATGATATTTACTTCTTCAGAGTAATTATTTACCATGTTAGTTCGATTAGCTTTCGATTTAGCATGCTTAGAAACTCCTGATGAGCAAGAAAATGTTTAATAGGTGGCTTAAGTTTAAAAATTGTAAACAATAAAGAGCATACAGCCACAACGCTTGATGTATTTAGCTTACAGTATATATTTCAAAATAAAATTTGGTAAACGTTTCGGTCTAACATGTGACCATCTTCAGTACATTAAATTTAAATATTATAATTAAAATTAAAACATCCAAATGATCAAGATAAAAACTTGCTAACTATACATATTAAAAAAATAATATTTGTTTCCCAAAAGTTATAGTATGTAACGCCACAAAGTTCGTAATCGTATGTATTGTCGCAGAAAAAGATGTATTACGCATGTAGAAAATTTTTTAATTGTAAAATATTATATATACAATTTGTGTCCGTCGAATACGTGATTGCCAGATGCTAATGTAGATTATTGGAAGAACCAAAAAATAACCAAAAAAAAAAACCATTAATAATCAAATATTATGTCAATTAATTTACAATACAATCACGTTTCGTCAAATGTGATTTTTAATATGCTCACCACGTATTCACTGATATCTGTTCCTCGAAGAAGTCCATAATTCTCTTTTAGTACTGCGTTATGTGAACTGATTTGAAATTTTATGTATTAGAAAATTTTTATGTTATTTAATATATTCTGTCGACCAAATCGTTATGACTACTGACATGAACAGAGGTGATATTTATATTTTATATTTTCAGAAAGAGAAAGAGAAATATTGTAGGAAGGGATGGAAGCTCATTACTGGGAAGAGGGGATATTC